TAATCATTAAACACGCTTGCTTTTAAACCATGTGTAATATTTACAAAGGTACACTCACCAGAGGTCCCTTGTGTGCCCTCAGGGTCTGGGAGCACGCCTTGGGTGAGTTCGGGGGTTACTGGTTCCAGGTCCAGGGTGATAAACATATCCTGGCTGTTGGGGAAACCGGTTTCTCCGCTTCCTTGCTGTGAGCTATCTTCATTGTCTTCATCATCATCTTCCTCGTACCCCGAACCTGCTTCCCTGTTGCGTGATTCTCCATTGAAGGAGTCAAAGCACACGGTTGGGGTAGTGGTGGCTGCACCCCCTAGCATGGCATGCAGCTCCGCATAGAAGCGGCATGTTTGCGGCTCTGCCCCGGACCTTTTGTTTGCCTCTCTGGCTTTGTGGTAGGCTTGCCTTAGCTCCTTAATTTTCACGTGGCACTGCTGTGCGTCCCTGTTATGGCCTCTGTCCTTCATGGCCTTTGAGACTTTTTCTAATATGTTGCCATTTCGTTTACTGCTACGGAGTTCAGCTAGCACTGATTCATCTCCCCATATGGCGAGCAGATCCCGTACCTCCCATTCTGTCCATGCTGGAGCTCTTTTGCGATCCTGGGACTCCATCATGGTTACCTGTGCTGATGAGCTCTGCGTGGTCACCTGTGCTCTCCACGCTGGGCAAACAGGAAATGAAATTCAAAAGTTCGCAGGGCTTTTCCTGTCTACCTGGTCAGTGCATCTGAGTTGAGAGCGCTGTCCAGAGCGGTCACAATGAAGCACTGTGGGATAGCTCCCGGAGGCCAATAACGTTGAATTCCGTCCACACTACACCAAATCCGACCCGCAAAGGCCGATTTTAGCGCTAATCCCCTCGTCGGAGGTGGAGTAAAGAAACCGGTTTAAAGGGCCCTTTCAGTCGAAAAAAAGGGCTTCATCGTGTGGACGTGTCCAGGCTTAATTCGATTTAACGCTAAATTCGACCTAAACTCGTAGTGTAGACCAGGCCTTAGTATAGACACAGTTTATGCTGGCAAAATAACTATACTGGCAAAAGCATTTTGATGATGTTAAAACTGCAGCTAAACTAGGGCTTTTGCCAGTATTTTTGCAAAAAAATTATACCCTGCAACCAATACTGGCAAAAGTTTCTATGCTGGGCATAATAATGACAAGGCCTTTCCTTAAAGAGCTTACAATTTAAAGGACAATATAACAGGTGGATGAGACAGCAAGCGATTAAGCGAATGGATTTTTGGGGGCGTGAGTGCAAAATGAATACAAGCAAGCTATATGCAAGGACTTGGAAAATTTATCAGACCAACTTAAGTGTTTCTGGGGGAGGGACTCATCCAGTTGGCAGTGCCTTCTAAATCACTTGAGTATCTCCGGTGCTACTGCTGCTATTGATGAGTAGAGAGGGAGAACTGCAAAACTGAGTGCTGGGTTCCTTTTAGAACATGAAGCCTAAACCTATTAGCTACCCCTACCTTTAATATCAGCCTCTGGCTATAGCGGGATTCTAAAGCAGTGCCTTGTGGAGAAGCCAGCCCCTGTTTCTCAGCAAAACTTCAGGCAAAAGAAAGGGTGTTTGGATTCCATTTTGGACGCTGGCCCTCGACCATACTCAGGGGTCCATTTTTCCATATCAATTTGTAGCTAGCTGAATTTGGAAATCCCTCTTCTCTTTAATTACCAGAAGGAAAAGGGAAAGTTCTCTGTACCTTTCTTCCCTCATTTCAGAGTATCTGGGATGTTGCAATATGGAGTGGTGGTTTCTCTCTTCCTCTGTGAAGCTTCCTGTCTAATGTGGATGTAAGAAGATGGATTAGACTCTGCTACTCAACCCTTCTTCCCAGTCTCTATTTCTTGGGTCCTCTCCTGATTCCACAAATGGGCAGTTCTAAAGCTTGACTCTGCTTCTGCTCATAGCTTTCACAGCAGGCAGCAGCAGTTTCACTCTACTTCTGCTACTTTGAAAAGGTATGAGCAGCAGCAGAGACACTGAATGTCTGTGTCCAGTCTCCGGAATACATAGTATTGCTAGTCTCAAGTGTTCAAAAACCATGACTCGCCCCCCTCCCCTCCCCTAAATCATGAAATTGGCTTGAAAAATCATGAGGTTTTTTTGTTTTTTTTTGAAAAGTGGCTTTCTTTTTATTTGCGTTCTGGTTTGTGTGTCTGTTGAGTGCACTCAGTTCATGTTTTCAGGCTTTTCTGCTCTACCATGAGAGCTAGAAACTTGTATTTCATTTTCATTGAAAGCTGGGTTTTTCATGTAATAAACTTACAGGAGCTGAGACTAAAAAAACACCAAATACGGTGAGACTCTCTCAGTAATATCACAAGAGTTTGCACAGTGAAAATAGTATTGCATCAGTTTACTTTTGGTTCATATTGAGAATATTATGTTGCATCCAGAAGGAGTAGACACTTTTTAAAATGACACTTTACAATCTGCAGAAATTGATGATTTAAGTGCTCACTCAACAAAGATAGCTTCCTCCTCACTGCTGAGAGTGGGCTGTTCAGGCTACAGATTAAGGCTAAATGGAGTTCTTATCAATCCCAAACACCATCCCAAACCCACTTAAAGTATTTCTGGTGGTGTGGTGGGCAAAAATGTGGGAATTGGAAATGGAGTGGGAGGAAAGCACTTCTAGAGTTTGAAACCTAGATTAGTTGATCTCTTTGAATTGCTTTTTGACAACAACAAGGTTTGTGGGAGAGGAACAGCAGTTGACTTGGATTCAGACACTCAAATCATAAATGAGAACTGTTTCACTGGCAAGCTGCTTGATTGGCAAGTGGGTAAGACAATATGAATGGTGTCCCCTCTGCCTGTCTGACATAGCACTCCCTGTTTGACAACCAGGGAACACTGTCAGATGGCTGCGTGTGACACAACCACACAATGGGAAATAGATTCTAAAAGCGGTGGTTGTAAAGGAGTTGCAGTAGTGACGAGAGTGTACAAAAGTCAAATATTTTAAGCAGCATAGTTGTTGGCAGGTAAAGCAAATAGCCATGCACAACATAACCATATGTTTCCTATTCACCATTCTCTCTTCATCCTTAAAGGGCCCCAAACTGGTGTCCTTTTCTGGGTCTATGCAATTTGCAGTGCTGTGCTTGCTGCTCCATAGTCCCATGCTGTAGTATGAAGGCCCAGATCTGGCTCCCAGTATTGAGGTCAATGATCCCTTACAAGGACTGGGCCTTTAGCGAGCCAATTCATCTCCCTACTGTCTACATACTCATTTTTTAAACTTGTCATTGAGCTTTGGTTGAGAGGATGGGAAATGTTTGATGTAGCTATTTTTCTAACAAAATGCTGTATTTTTAATCATATCTCAGAAAAAAATCATGTTTCCTATTTAGTATTGAAGCACGTGATGAAAAAAAAGGGAATATGGTTTTATTGAGAACTGTCTAGGATTGTTGTATTTCAAACCAAAAATATTTATATTTATGTATTTATGGCTTATTGGTCCCAAATTATCAATATTGTATATACCTGTTTAGTTTTGTTCCAGGAAGGAGACCTTTGAGGCATTCTGTTGGCTTTAAGTCATTGGGTCTCCATTCCTTCCAAAAGGTTTCACATAATAATTTAGAGTCCAGTCCTGCAAACACTCATTGCTGGGCATAGTGCTTTAAAAACTTCATTGCAACAACTCAGGTCATGGTCGAGACCTGTATATTCAACTACTGTGGAATTTGTCACAAAATTCATCCTTCCCTCAAATTTGGGAAGATAATATTAAAACTGGGACCAAGTGTTGCGTTGCCTTCTTGAGACTTCCCACAGCAGGAAACAATATTTCTGAGAGGTTTAAGCCACTTGCATTCATCTCGGTTGGCGGTTAATTCTGTATCCTAATGAGGGAAGTGTAAAGGTCTGTTTTGTTATCTATTTGACACCAGATCCTTTGGGCAGAGACACCCATCTACTGTGCTTATCCCACAATCCCTGCCTGCCTCTTGTGCCTCCCCAGTGCCAAAAGCCTCAAATGTCCCTTCCCCAGCTGTGCAAACCTCCTGTTTCCTTCCTGACAGCATCAGTAATGGATATATATATATTTTGTTCAGCAGTACAAAAATCTGCTGTGCATTGAAAACTGGAAATCAGGGGAGAATATAAAGCAAATTGAATTCAATATAAACATAAATAAAAGGCGCTGTGAATTAAACTCTGCCTTAACAGTAGCAAATATTGTGTTCCATTTATATGTTTGCAGGATTAAGTATTTTAACCTGGGCAGAAATAGCTGATGGTACCAGATCTGATTTTTTCATACCCTTGAACTCAAACAGTGACTGCACAAACATAAGCAAGCATAACTATAAGTTTATCTTGAAATTCAAGTTAAAATCAATGTAAATTTTTAGTTCTTCAGCATTTAGTGTCTTGAGGTCATTATTTTTTTCCCAGTGAATCACAGTACATAAAATGCCCATTCATTCACTTGTAATCTGAAGATGCTGCTGATATGGCTGGAAAAGGATTTCGGCTGTACAAAACGATCTATGGAAAAGTTCCTGTAGTCAAAGTCAGCACTATCCTCTCGCCTCCATTCATAAAGACTGAATGAGAAATCATGTCCTATGTGGAAATGCCATCCAGAATGAGATCACCTGGAAAATGTGTGACAATGTATATCAAGTGTTTATATGTACATGACATGCAATAATCAACTCAAATTTGTTTACAAATGAAATCAATATGTATTTATTCAACTTTTCCCAGGTATAATTATTTTTTTTATTGTTCATATCCATTGTTGCCATGAGTGTAGTTAAGATTTTTCACACCTTAGCCCATTATGTCCTCTAGACACAACAATAATGCAAATAATAAATAAAAGAAAAGCCTTGGGGAGGACCATTCTAAAATGTCATTGTGGTATCTTCTAACATATGATGCTGTTCTGAGTATCCTGCTTGCTATAGTGTTCAGAAACTTATGCAGAATTCAGTTTGTGTTGTAACTGCTCTTCTCCTCAAATCCCTTTTCAGGCTACGCCGCTTTTCGTTGTCTTGATGCTGTTGGAGTTTGTTGTCAGTTGGGTTTGGAGGCATCAGGCACCAGGGCGGATCAATGATAGCATAACTTCTCTCTCTGCAGGAGTCCTGTCTCGACTTCCAGAGTAAGTGTGATTATTGCATTGGCTTGATTCATTCCTCATTTGGAGGGAAGGGGAAGAATTACCTTATAAATATTAAAAGGTTGTAGTTAACCCAAATGAATTAGTCAAGAGGTAGATGCAGCTTTGCCAAAAATTGATTTTGCATTAAGAAGATGTAAATTTCTTTCTGAAATGTAACATGTAAATGTAAATTAAATGTAAAAAAAATTAAATGTAAATTTAATATTTAAAGGATATTAACCAAATCCAACTCCATCTTGAAATCTGTGGGGCTTCAGATATTGAGGAATCTGTGACTTTGGTTAGGTAGACTGCTTCTTGTGTTACAATACAATGTATATTTAAATCTGTTTTCTTCTGTTAGCTCTCAGACAAGAGCAAAAAAATACATATCTTGTTTCCATTGGTCTTTTTAAAAAGAAACTTATGTTGAAGTAATAAGGATAGATGATAGATTTCTCAACATGGACCTGATCCAGTGACCATTGAAATCAATGGGAGTCTTTTGTTTAACTCCAGTGGGTTTTTCATAGATTTTAAGGCCAGAGGAGACCACTGTGATAGTCTAATCTGACCTCTTACATAACTCAGGCCATAGGACTTCCTTTTATTAATTCCTGCTTTAAATTCAATAGCTGTGATTGAACTAGACCATATCTTTTAGAAAAATATCCAATCTTGAATTAAAAATTCCCAGTGTTGGAGAATCTACAGTATCCATATTCAAGTTGTTTCCTATGATTGATTACCCTCATGGTTAAAAATTTGCACCTTAGTTCTAGTCTGAATTTGCCTAGCTTCAACTTCCAGCCATTGCACCTTGTTATATCTTTGTCTTCTAGACTGAAACTATCTCTATTATCTAATTTCTGTTCCTTATGTAGGTACTTGTAGACTGTGCTCAAGTCACTCTTGTCTTCTCTTTGATAAACTAAATAGATTGAGTCCTTCAGTCTTTCTCTATGTGGCATATTTTCAATTCTTGAACCACTCTCGTGTCTTCTCTGAACCCTCTGATATTTCAACATCCTTGTGATGTAGACACCAGAACTGGATACAGTGTTTCAGTAACACCGCTAACATCAATGTCAAGTGCGGAGTTGATTTAACCTCTTCTCCTGCTTGATATTCCTCTATTTATACATCCAAGGACAGCATTAGCCCTTTTGGCCTCAGTATCTCACTGGGCACTCGCATTCAGCTGATTATCCACCATGACCCCAAGTCTTTTCTAGTCATTTCTTCCCACGGTAGTTTCTCCATCTTGCAAATATGGCCTACATTCTTTGTTCCTAGAATCAGGGGTTCTCAAACTTCATTGCACTGCGACTCCCTTCTGACAACAAAAATTACTACATGCCCCCAGGAGAGGGGACCGAAGCCTCACTGCCCCAGGTGGGGGGGTCAAAACCCGAGCCCCACCCCATGTGGAGGGTGCAAAGCCGAAGTCCAAGGGCTTCAGTCCTGGGTGAGGGACCTGTAACCTGGCCCTGCTGTCCAGGGCTGAAGCTGAAGTCTGAGCCACACTTGGCGCTGGGCAATGGGGCTCAGACTTCGGCTTCAGCCCCGGGCCCCAGCGAGTTTACCCCAGCTCTGGCAACTCCATTAAAACAGGGTCATGACCAGGGCCGGCTCCAGGCACCAACCCACCAAGCTTGTGCTTGGGGCGGCACCTGGAGGGGGGCGGCGCAGCACTCTGGCTCTGGCCGCCGGGGAGAGCGGAGCCCCGGCCGGGCTCGCCGCCCTCCCCCCGACGCTCTGGCCGTCGGGGAGAGCGGAGTCCCGGCCGGGGCTCGCCGCCCTACCCCCGGCGCTTTGGCCGCTGGGGAGAGCGGAGCCCCGGCCGGGGCTCACCGCCCTCCCCCCGGGGCTCCGGCAGCCCTCCCCACCGCGCCCTCCCCTGCTGCGCTGGGGGCGGGGGCGGCCGGAGGCTTTTTTGCCTGGGGCAGCAAAAAAGCCAGAGCCGGCCCTGGTCACGACCCACTTTGGGGTCACGACCCACAGTTTGAGAACCGCTGTCCTAGACGCACGAGTTACATTTGGCTGTATTGAAGCACATGGGCCAAGCAGTCCAGATCATTCTGTATCAGTGACCTGTTCTCTTCATTATTTATAACTCCCCCTTTTTTGTGTCATCTGCAAACTTAATTAGTAATGAGTTTATGTTTTCTTCCCACATGTTGATAAAGATGTTAAATAGCATAGGGCCAAGAACTGATTTCTAGGTGATCCCACTAGAAACACAGCTGCTCAGTGAAGATTCCCTGTTGGCAGTTACATTCAGTTGAACAGTTTTTAATCCCTTCAATGTGTGCCATGTTGATGTCAGATTGTTTTAATTTCTTAATCAAAATGCCGTGCAGTACCAAGTCAAATACCTTACAGAAATCTAAATATATTTTATCAACACTATTAGCTTTATAAACCAAATTTGTAGTGTCATAAAAAATACTAACTGGTTAGTTTGACAAGTTTTATGGCTATGGTTTTGGAACATCCCCAGAAAGTATGGACTACATGTGGTTGTTTATTTCAGTTTTCAGGAGCAATAGCCTTAGAAGTTGCCATTTAAAGAATTAAGCAGATACATAGAAGATATCAGCTAGCGCTTTCCCAACACTGCCTACACAAATAAGAGATGTGAACTGTCAACATCAGAAATATTCAAAAGAAGTTTGCTTAATTCATTGATAATTATTTGGTTGGTTATTTCATATTACACCTCTACCCCGATATAACACGACCCGATATAACACGAATTCGGATATAACGCGGTAAAGCAGTGCTCCGGGGGGGCGGGGCTGCGCACTCCGGTGGATCAAAGCAAGTTTGATATAACGCAGTTTCACCTATAACACAGAACGATTTTTTGGCTCCCAAGGACAGCGTTATATCGAGGTAGAGGTGTACTATTTTTGAAGATGCTAATTATATCCAACCTGTTTTGTGTATCAGTTTTTATATAAACAAGAAATTCTTTCAGTAATTGATGAGCAGTGAAAATGACTGTACAACTGAGAAACCTCAATCAGATCTTATTTATCATGCTATATTTTCAGTTGGAAGTAATGTTGTTTTCTAGAGATTCAGACACATCAGAGATTTACCAAATCAAGTAACCGTGTTTCTGATCTTGAAAGGCCAGGGCAGATTATGATGAAGTTCAGGATGTATAATGAGGTTAGCAGTTTTGGTACCATGGTATAAGAAAGTTAGCAGTTTTGGTACTATGTCTCATTTTTATTTTAAGAGTACTAAAATTCACCAGATTCATCCATCCCTGCAAAAATATTTATTAAGAAAAATTGCATTGTATGCAGATAGCTCAATTTTGCAAGGTGCTGAGTGCTTTCCTCATAGTGGCACTCAACATTTTGCAAGATTTGGCTCTGTGAATGCTATGCACGTATTATTTTGCAAGGATAGGAGAATTTGGTGAAGTGAACGATCACTGAGGACACTCAGCGCTTTTCAGGATCTGGCCCTTGGTGCTGGCACTGAAATGAATAAGCATACTGTACTAACATTCTCATCCAGCTCACTACTATTTTAATACTACTATGTGAGATCTGGGAACACTTTAGCTCTTTTCACAGTTGTCTTTTCAAGCAAGAACTGTGAAAGGCTTTTAGCTTTCTGAGAGTACATTCACAAAGCAATTACAAATCATAGAATTTAGGTGTTAATTGCCAGTTTCTAATGATGAATGCTTGCACTGTTTTTATCAGTTAAAGGAGCTATGGACATTAGGTAGACTAAACAGGACAGGACTGAAAAAGAGAACATTCTGTCCTCCTCCCCATCTGCCTTTTGGTGGTGTAAAAGAATTGGGATTTAAAAAGAAAGAGAGCACAAATTTGTTGCTGAGCTTTCCCCTTTAGTCAGTCCCTTTTCAGCAAGAAAAGGGAAGGGAAATCTGACAGAAACTGCTAAAACAATATTTCAGCAGAACCCACAGAGTCAGGGGAAATCCTAGTGCAAATCATTAACAGCTGAGGGTTAGATTAACACACCATTGATTGTATCCTCTCCCAGGGACTAATTTTCATTTTCTCAACTAGCTGAAATGGTTTGCCACTTCCTTAAAAAAATCTGTGGTTGAAACTAAAATGGTGTGCTTCAGCCTATTAATCCATTAGTTAGAATGAAGCTTCAGATGCGTCATCACAAAGAGGTTTTTGGATTATGGGGAAAATGAGAAGTCATGAAAACCAAATTCAGTCTCTGAGCATAGTTTTCCATTCGACAATCTGGGTAACAAAAGTGTAGCAGACCTGAGGGAAAACAGTTTTTATTCCGTGTTTTGTACTTCATTGGTAGAGAAAATGAAAAACATAAATTGTGGGTATTAGTATGCCACATACAGGCTATATATATATATATATATATATATATGAAATTTGTGCATAAGAGAAAAATCTTATCAAACAAGGGAGTGCATCTTTCTTATAAGCCCCCCCAGACTGTGCAGCATGTAATAGAAATGCTTGTCATGGATACACTACTACTTGCAACATAACCTGTACACTTTAAAAAACAAACAAACAATTGTTTCCTCATACTAAGTATGATATTTGATGGAAAGTAGTTTTTTTTGGGGGGGGTAAACTGGATGAATTTATTGAACTTGATTCCAATGTGAATAGAAGTTGCAAAATTTTGTCATTAACTTACAAGTTGTTGGGTAAAAAATATTTTGAGAATTTTTATTATAAATAATTATTTCCCCCAACAAACTGTTGCCAGGATGCCTGAAATGTTGCTGTTTTTTTAAAAATATATTTTCCCAAGAGAAGTCTTATTCCAGATATAAATATCTACTGAACAAGTATGTGTATTATTTCTTACTGGTCCATTTCTTCTGTTAAAGCAGCAGAATATAAATCAATTCATAATGTGTTTGGGGGAATCATTTAGGTAGGTACCTTTTCAAAGCAGTTCGAGAACTCTCCATTTGCTGTGCAGCCACACACACACACACACACACACACACACACACT